GATGAAATTTGGTATAGATGTAGAGGATAGTCTGGAAGAACACATAGGCTACTCACTTTTGTTTTTTAAATTTCACGCGGACGGAGTCGTGAGCGAAAGCTAGTAAAATTATAAATGCGAAAGTTTATATCAATGGATGGATGGATGTTTGTTAGTTTGTAGCATAAACTGCTTAATGGACGTCGATAAAATTTGATACACATATATAGAGGATAGCCTGAAATCTGGAAGAACACATAGGGTACTCACTTTTGTTTTTTTTTTAATTCTACGCGGACAGGATCGTGAGCCAAAACAAGTATATATATTACATACCTTAAGGCTTATAGCCTTCGCATACTTTGTGCAGATCACTTGCACTTTGTCCAACGGCATGTTAGACAGAACTGGAAAAATATATATATTTTAAATATAGTACAGAATAAAATACTTTTTTATTTAAATACATTTTAGTATACAGGGGAAAATCGAAATCATAATAAGACATTGTTTATAAAGTAGAATATAATCTTATTAGACTAGGTATAGGTAGATAAGGTTTTGGTGACTACGCCTGGCGTTGCCCGGAAGTACACCCCAAGACCAGTGATTCTCAACCACTGTGCCGCTGCACTTTTATGTGCCGTCAAGTTTTGCATATTTTTCTCATAAACAATTTATGCAATGTGTTGTAGTAAGTAAATAATTTTATCTTTTTCTTTGTGCCGCCAAATTTTGAAATCGTCGAATATGTGCAGCAACAAAAAAAGGTTGAGAATCATTGCCCTAGACCCAAAAATTATATTCAATAAATTAATCGGATAATTCAATACATTAGTCTGAGATGTCGATAAATTCTATTTGGAAAAAATTACTAGCCCCTCTTTATGTCTCAGTCAGTCTGCCTCCCCTTGATTATGGGCATCCCTTAGTGTGTGAAGTTTAAGTGTAGTTTTAATAGAAACATTTTGACATACCATAAGGTCTGTCCGTGGGTGTGACAAGGTCGTCCTGTACCAATATAATTGGAGATCTGCCCGCTGACCTTTCTATTTCATTATAAGTTGACTGAATCATGCCGAAGTCACAGTGATGCGGGTGCAGCTTCCTGTACTGCTTTGTTAGTTTGAAGCAAGTGTTCACATCGCTAACATTCATCATAAGCCAACGTAGCCTACTGAATAACTCCTGGAAATAACCGGTGAAAGAAACTAATTCTATAATAAATAAAAGAATCCTAAACAACAAAATTCACACTATACAAAAGATTTCGCCTGCATGTAATTAAAAAAAATATAGCCTGTTTGTCACAGATAACATAGCTTTTTAATGATTTAAGAATTTTAGACATTACCCCAGTAGTTTTTAAGTTATTTCGATAAATACAAATCTTTCCTCTTAATAGTAGTAGGGGGCTACAGTGTCTGCAACTCCATGGCTAGCGCGTATTTTGCGTGAGGAACTGGATGTGGATTACTCCAGCCAACCTAGCTCTCTGAAGAACCCCAGCAAACCCTTTATGTTGCTGGTGATCTCCAGGAGCAATCTTCGCGAACCGAGATACCTAACCCTGTATTACTATTTATAATGTTAGCATAAATATCTTATTAAGAAAAGTTTTATTCGAATTTTGCAGTGATTGTTGACATTAAAGATATGTGTGTTTTTTATATTTTATTATATTAGTTTCGGTAAAAAAAGATAGTTTGATAACACATACCTTAGCGAGTGTTTCCAGAAGTTTATGGCCAGTTGTGCTACTGAGGTTATGTAAACCTGCATATTTCGATTGCAATTCCTGCAATATCTCTGTATGTGCAGCGAGTAGCACCTAAACAAAGTTAAATTTCATATAAAAATGATTTAAGAATATTCCATTTTAAACTACCATAATTAAAATGAAAGATATTTATGTACAAAGACGAAAATCTGCTATGTTCCATTTTAGGAAAAATTGCCTTGCACAATGCAACTAGACAAAATCAACCTCTTCCTAATTAGATAGCAGTGAGTGCAAACAAAGTGATAATAGTAAAAGAAACTTGCCATGTATCACTGAGACTTTATCACAAAAATAAATAGCCCATGTGTCCTTCCAGTCTCTCCCCTACATCTATGCCATATTTCATCAAGATCTGTTCAGTTGTTTAGGCTACAAACTCTATCAAACATCCATCCATCTACAATTTCGCATTTATAATATTAGTAATATTGAGATATCAACATGGATAACCAATAGTAGAATAGGAGTCGGCAATCTTTCAAAACTTGCACTGGTTCTGCTACTGTTAAAAATGTATTTAAATGTATAATAGCTGTCGTCAGCGACTCCATCAATGTGGAATTAGAAAAATACTTAATGAGTAGATATTTCTACATCTATGTCTTTCAACAAGATCCGTTGAGTCATTCTGGCTGTAGTAAATAACACTCATGCATCTACTTACATATTTATAATATTAGTAAGATTCATTTACCTCTCCCAATGAACTTTCATTACAAATCCCGTAAGCCCTGCGAAGAGGCGTCGGCAATCCAATAGGCTTTATTGCTTTGGGTAACTGGAAAAATAAACCAATATGAACATATTTTAATATTACTACATAATTATGTATATAGTAATTAACATATTTCATAAGTTGATAAACAAGCAAGTAACTATCTGAACGCGCCGCAATAGCGAATTGAGCTTGTAGACATATAATCGCAAATGTGTTGCCTACCCTATAATTTTTTAACAGTTATTATTCACAATAATAAAATGGATGGAGTTATTATGAAATTTGCCTCCACTTTTATTTTCCCCTCTGTAAATGTTCCTGTAATTGGCTCTACAATACAGAGGGAGATTTTTGATCAAGTACTATTTTATACCTTAATTGAACAAAAATAATTAAGAATTTATTAGTTCAAGCCAGATATCTGTATATTTTTAAAGTTAGATATGCATATTTTGGTGAAAATTGATTACTATATTCAAAGAATAATATTACTAAGACCTGTTTATTAAAAACTAGCTGTTCTCATGCAACTTCATCCGCATGAAATTATGAAAAATTTTATTTTATTGTTTATATTTGTCAAATTATCAATAGCAAATGTCAAAATGACATGACATGACAAATAATGTTGTTGGCAGCAACTTATGGTCTCTTTTCCACATAAGGGTTTTTATACAAAATATTTACCCCCTAAGTTTAATGGTGTTAAAATATATAGTCTAAATTGTGATGTAAATGTGGGGATTTTTACTAAAAAAAGAATTATTCAAAGATATGTTGTAATTGCTGACATCTTAGGCAACAAAGAAGTGTGTGTTTACACTTTATTATAATAGTATAGATATAGATTAAAAAATAACAATAATAATAATCATTTAATTCATCAATCATCAATCAGAGATCCATAGTGTTAGTGTAAACTTACAAACTAGTGTTAGTAGAAAATTAACATGATAAATTACCGCATGAAATAAAAATTCTCAAGAACTTACTATTGGCTCAGTTTCGGGTATCTTTGCACTTAGTTGGACTTTGCCAAACATAGTAGAGTTTATTTTATTCACTACGAAATCAGGGTTAAGCATTTCTGACAAGCGTACATATCCAAATCTGGTTGTTTTGGTAGATTTTATTATGAGCACTTCATACTTCCCTCTTATTGCCTGTATTAATTTTCTCATTAATGTCTTCATGTCCCACTGCAATTTTTTTATAGAAAAAGAAGCAAACTATTAGTGGATCACCTAATATTAATATTATAAAAATAGCTTTATTAATATCCGCTTTGGGCAGGGGAGTGGTTCCCCAACTAGGGTGGCACCCTGTGTGATGGATCACCAGACCCCTACTTCACAGACTACAACAAAACTGATGAAAAAAAAACATTAGTAATTTACTGTAATAAAAATATTTTAAGAAAATATAAATGAAATTTAAGCTATATGTGAGGCTTTGGTGAGCAATAAGTTTTTTCTGAATCAATCCGATTTCTTATAATACTAACTATCCCAAGCATGGATTTAAAAAACAAATGTGTTATGTTGATTGTTATTCCAGACATCATTATTCTACATCTATATCAAACTGCAGCTAGCCATCTAGCCATCTTACGTTTATATCAGTAAGAAGCAAGGTATTCATGAAATACCAATTTCATTTAGTACATTTAAATATTTGTTGGCTCTGTTGGAGTTTTTATATATTTGTATACTGGCAGGCAACACTGTACACACAGAGGATGGTTTTTAATATTAGAATAGTATATTTTAAATTATAAAGAATTGTATATTTGATGTTTGATACATTGACTTCACATCTCGACACGTACCAAGAAACATAGTAGGACTTATAGAATAGACATTGTATAAAATATGATTTTTGATATTATAAATATAATGATGATCCAGAGCCCCGGACGGAGAAAAGTAACCGTCCAACAGGCTCCCCTAAATTTACAAAGCCTTATTTAAATTAGCAGATGTGAAATTGAATTAAAGAAAAATAAGGAAACTGAAATATCTGTTTGTAGGAAAAATGCGATTCGGTCACAAATCAAATTACTTACCTTGGGAGGCAATCCAGATACAACAATAATGGTCATTTTTTAACTTTTTATTAACGGTGTTTTCCAAGTTTAACTAGAATTGGAAGCAAAACAAGTAAGCAAGAAATTTATGAAATATAAGTTTGACATTGACATAATTAAGAATCGAATGAATGAGTTGTAGTCAGCCAAAGAATACAGATACTATATCGAACGAACAATTTTCTCGTTCAAATCGATCATGATTAAAACAAGTTATTTTGAAAGCATAGCTTATTATTGTGTATTCTATAAATTTTAAACAAAAATTGCGATAATAAAGTTTTATTTATAAGTTTCGATAATTAATACATTGGGAACATAAACTTGAGATTTGATAAACTCAATAGTTTGACACTTTTAATTTGACAACGACAATTGACAAAACAAGCAAGCGAGCAAGTCAGCAATATAATATCTGTAAATTAAATTTGATTTTGATCAATTGTAACTTAAACTAAGCTGGGTTTAATTGATTCATCAAGATGTTTTATATCAGCATCTATGGCTTTATTAAGAAAGTAATAGAGTTGTATTTCTAAGTATTTTTGTTTTCCTTTACCCATTCAATCGATAACTTATTACTAAAATGTTACATTTCAGTTAAAAAAACAAAGGATTCACAACATACTGAACACAGCTGTGCTTGGCAAAAAACTACCGTGCCATTTTTGTCTGCATGAGATCCACCCTGACTCCAATCCTAAGTTTATTGTAGTTATAATAACTCTGGGAAATAAGCAAGTTACCGAAAAAGCTTTAGATCTTATAAATGGATTTGTTTATTTCGATATTCAAACTAAGACTGAATTGCATTTATCAGCGATTGATTCAACACAAGATTTTAAAGTTGATGCTTATACCAGCGATGATCAAAGTACAAGGGATAAAGATGTAAGGCAGAGAGGACGCTCGCATGGTTCATACGAATCACGTAACAGAAGCCGTAGTCCTCTTTTAACTAATGATATAAATAAAATAGATGTAAGTATGCAATGATGATAGTCAAAGCAATAAGTATGTTTTATTATCTTGCATCACATAAATAGGGCAAAGAAAAGGAGCAATTTATCTGAATATACAGATTAAAAAAGTAAACATTTGACTAAAACTGTACTATAATAAGTTTAATTGTTGTAGGTGGAGATTGAACTTATCCAAAAAGAGTGTGCTCTTGTTGTGCAACAAAGAAAGTTACTTTTGGAGAGGAAGAGACTTGAGTTACTGAAGGTAAATTATTTCTGAATCTCTATTTGTTTAAGGAGATAAGAGAGATGGCAATACACAGGTGTCCATAAAAGTAGAAACACAATATTTCATTACATACAAAATGTACATATTAAGAGATGGCTAAAATGCAAGTGGTACTTGGATTTGTTGAAATAGCAAATTGACCATTGCCCTTTGACATTTATGCCAAATTCACTTCACCTTCCCATCATTTCCTTGAAGGAAAAGCATGGGATGGGAAAAAATGACTAAAATTGGGCTTCCTGCATGTACTTATCAGCCTGTTTGCAGAAAGACTCCATCTTGTTGCTTGTTCTGTGATTCTGTGTTACAGTGCTGCTCTGAGAGTGCCAATTTGTGCAACAGATATTGTGAGCTCTACACTGTTAAAAATTATGTAACTTACATTTTTGTCTCATCTTAAAGTTTTTTTCTTTTGTAACATAGTCTTTAAATTCCACAGGACTTTGAGCCAACCTCTATAAATGATTTAGAAAGATTTGCCGCGGCTATAATTAATCAAGATGACCATGAACAAAAACCTGTTCCTCACAAACCTGCTAAGCTCAGAGGTACCCCGGTACCAGTGCTAGCCAGCAGAGCTATTGTAAAGCAAATGAAAAGAGCTATAGCGAAACGTACCAACAACAATGAAATTACACAGCCTTTATATTTCACGCTAAGGAAGCGTATTATCGAAATAATAAAAGGCAAAAGTAATTTGGAAACTGAGGATATTATACAAATGTATAGAGAAAATTATCCGATAGAGTCCGATGAAGATCTCTTGGACTGTCTTGAAGAACAGATGAATACAATAAAAGCTGTTAAAGATAAAGTGGTAAAAGCGGTTTCTCATGAGGAGAAAGTTGAATCAGGTATTTGTCCATCTTTAGAAAATGACTACACAATTTAATGCTATTACAAAAATTTTAATAGTAATTTAAACATGTGTATCTATAAAGAATGGACAAGATTTCTGGTATTTTGTTACAAAGATGAATTATATATCATTCCATTGAAGTTCTAATAGCAATGGTTAAGGGTACGGTTCTTTCAATGACATGGTCGTAGTTTCGAATCTCGCCATTCAGATATTGTATATAAAAGTACATAATCTGATATAATTTGGTGTACAGTCAGGGTCCTTTGCAGTGATCCACTCACAGAAAAGTGGCCTTGTTCCTTGCAATAAGGAAAATCTATCTCTGTTTAGTAACCAATTTAGCAATGAGTTGTTGAAGCATTGGAATAATAATAAGCTTTCGATGTGTACAAAACATTCAAACTATTGTAGTTTCTAAGTGGTACACCACCAAATTCCTCAATAGTACATATAAGGCAAACATACTGCTAACAGGTGTTTTATCTACTGTTTGATAATACACAATAGCAGCATATGTCCTTAAATTAGTTACAATCAATCTATAAGATTGATTACTATAAAAATATTATATTTAAATGTCCAAGTTGCTGAATATATTTTCAAAACATTGTATCCTCATGTTTTGTAGACATTATTGACTTTTAGACCTATGGAGACTTATTTTATTTATCATAGAATAAAAATAGGGCACCTGTAAATATGCTAAAACACCTAAATAAAGGCTGCCAGCGCCAGTGGTGGAGAAATTGAGAAGCAAAAGGTTAGCGTGGTATGGACATGTTATGCGACGAAATGATGGGGACATAAACCAGAAAGTG